TGGCCCCTCCGCTGCTCCTGCCTGCTTGGCCTTGTAGTAAGTGATGCCTCGGACCACGGTTTGCTGGTGTGCTGATGGCTTGGGCTTGGGTGTAGGCTGTGACACCCCCCTGGCCTTTGGGTTATCCTTTTTGGGCTTCTCAGGCTTCAGCTGTTTCTCCTTGGGTGCTCGGGGGGGCGCCCTGTCCCCCAGTGCCTTGCGGGTGTTGGGGAACCGTCCTGCCTCCTTCTCTCGTCCTCCTGCTGTGTCCTGCAGGGCACAGCTCAGTTAGACCCCCTTCCTTCCCTCCCCTCCTGCCACTGTGCAGGGCAGTGGGCACAGCACCAGCCCTGGCTGTCGGAACCCTGATGCACTTGTGGGAGCTGCCAGCACCCACTGCAAGCCTGGGGGAGCTCAGCTCTGCCCCATGGCAGGAGAAGTTCAGTGGCATCAGCCATGTCTGCCAGGGCCCGGGGTACCTGTGCCTTGCTCTCAGGGATGGCAGCAGCATCCTTCTGCAGCAGCTGGTAGCCCAGGTTGGAGATCTCCTTCTTGATGCTGATCATGATGTCGGAGTAGTTCTCATAGCGTTTCATCTGGTCGGTGAGGTGCAGGACACTCTCCTTCATGAAGTCATTCTCCCTGCTCAGGTTGGTCTTGATGGTCTGGAGAAGAAGAGAGGCTGGAGCCCCGCTCAGGGAGCCCATGGCGTCCCCAGACGCTCCTGAGCAGTCAGACAGGGCACACTGTGGGACAGCGCCTGCTGAGCTCACTCACCTCTTCCAGCGTGTTCATCTGAGCCACCACCTTGTTGATGTAGGAGTGCACCTTCATCAGGTCCATGCTGTAGAGCGTTCCCTCCAGCAGGTCCACCATGGACTGCAGCTGCAGAGGGACAGTAGGGACAGTAGGGCTGGGGTATGGGACAGGGCTGTGGATGCCTCCAAATGTCTCCATCCCTGCTCACAGGAACCACAATGCTCACTGCCCTGTGGGCCTGCTGGGGCAGGGATGGGGGGCATGGGGAGGATATCTCCAGCCCCCACCCCACAGCCCCGCGGTGCCTGCAGATACCTTGAAGAGCTCGGGTGCCTGCTTCTTCAGCTTCTCCATCTTCCACTCGTTCTCGCAGGGGTTGAGTGAGGAGGGGGGCGCGGTGCAGGAGCACTTGCAGTCGGCCCCTGAGCTCACCGTCTCCACCGTGTAGAAGTCCTCCACGCGCATGCTGCCGTTCCGGACGCGCCTGCACGCGTCCTTGCTGAGCGGCCGCAGGATGCACTTGCAGCGGCAGTCGGAGCCCTCTGAGGTCATCCGGACCTGGTCCGCCTCACCCAGTGCCTGCAAGCGGGGGACACGCTGCAGTGGGGTGGCCACTGAGCCCGGTGTCCTGCCGAGGAGCCCTGTAGGACCCTGTTGTCCCCAGCAAGCCCCCACAGCCCCCTCACTGCCGCTGGGGCTCTCAGCCATGCCCAAGGAGCGCAGGGCATTGTCTTGCCCAGAGCACCCTGTCCCACCACCCTGCACTTGGGTAACGGTGCCAACACTCAGGCATCCCCGTGGCCATCAGAGTGTTTTGTGCCCCACGTACACTGGCCCCATTTCTGTAGCTGTCACCCAGCCTCCAGCAACACCCAAGTGAGCGGGGAGTGTCAAAGAGACCCAGAAGCGCCTCTGTTCCCCTGCGCCCACAGCCCCGAGCCCACACAGGGTCTGTTGTTCATGGTGACATGCAGCCACCTCGGGGTGAGCTCAGCCCCTCCAGACTCCCGCAATGGCCTGAGGCACACACTCAAGGACTCCCTTGTTTCCACACATGGCCCTGACTCACGCTACGGAGCCCAGGGTGCTTTTTGGCTGGTTTCTGCAGATAAGGAACCATTCTTCCCTCTCCCCGTTGTGCTTGGGAACAAGGCTGTGGCTCAGCCTGCCTGATGGGATGGGATGGGATGGGATGGGAGCAATGTCCCACTCACCCCCTGCCACCACTGTGCACCCATGGGGGACATCTAGGCTGGCAGGGAGCACGGCCGGGCTGCACTGGGTGCCCTATGGCTGGAGATGTGCCTGCTCTGAACACCCGGGAGGGTGGGAGAAAGGGGAGAGGCAGGGGGATGACCCCTGAGGGAGAGAGCTCTGCCCGCAGGGACTCTGACTCACCCTGGGAAACAGAATGGTGGCAGAGCTGGGAAACGAGTTCAGCTCTGGCTGTCCCATCCTCCCCTGGAGCACAGCGCAGCGTGGGAAAGGGCAGAGGCCCACAGGGCCCATGTCCTGCCTGCGGGCAGCACCCAGGCCATGCAGGCACCATCCTTCCCACGCCCAACCAGGGTGATGTGCTGGTGGCACCCGGCAGCGGCTCTCCCTGGGGACCTCCAGCTCCCCACAGCCCCACACGTGGGGCCAGGGGCTCCCCTTCCTAAAAGGGGCAGCAAAACCTCCTGTATTTTGCATTTCAAAAAA